TCAAAACTTTGGTCAGCAGTCGTACCATGCAGCGCCTTGCTTCGGATAAAATGGCGGATCTCGATTCAAAAACAAGKATATTTAGCTGATTTCCTGGCTAGAGTRCAGTCCTAAAGCTTTGTAATGTGACTGCCTAATCCCTTGCTGTCCTTGAGTATTGTATTCAGTAACACTTTAAATTCGGATGCCGCGATTTTTACGTAAATCCCCAGGTAAGCMCTTTAGTTCCCTGTTGATGAATTTGAAAAAATGCTTCATAGTAAAATCACTCCCTTGGCTATTCTGAATCATTGTTTTTAACTATATACTCTGGCTTGACTTCAATATTAGATTCATTTCACCTAAATTAGCTTATTCTACAGAGTTGTTAATAGAATTTTTGGAATTTAATTCATCGCAAACGATACTGAAATATATTTTAACACTCGAGTTCGAGTTGGTTCAAACACAGCTTGCCGGATAATAACGATTCAGAAATCTCTATCAGCGAAATAATTCTCCAATTTGGTTGCTATGTGTCTTAATTAATTCATTATTTCGATTACATCAGTTATAAAATCAATATAAATTATTATTATGATTTTGTACATTAACGTAATTTGTGTACACTCTGATAGTTTAACTACACGGTAAATAAGCTTAAATCCTTAAATACAATTTCTTGTCTACATTATTTTGCATTCTAATAAGATATTAGATGTTTTTAATGTTTACTTAATGTATCTTTGTGTTAGCAAAAGAAAGTAAGAAAGATAAGAAAACTGAAAAAAAGAAAAAGACGAAAGAAAATTCAAAAGACAAAACAYCTTGGAAATCGCAGCCTGGAACATTATATGATGAAGAAGAAGAAGAAGAAAACTTCATGCAAAATGGATTTATTGGAGGTTAGGTTTCCTGTGACTATGACTTATAACATCTTTGTTTACTTACACACTGTAGCATTGTTTACAAAAAAAGTTGCAATTTGCAAGAAGTTTTTGCTCATATTTACACAATCACTCACAGAAAAGATGGTAAGGCAAATTATTAATACTTAATTAATTTATAATAAATGACTCGTTATTAAAGAGCACATATCTTAATGTAATATTGATAGTATTGATTTGGCAGGTTTTTTCTAATGAGCTGGGTTTTTTTTATTGTTTTTCAGTTGGACGGTGTAGGAGGCTACTGGCTTCCTGCCCAAACAGAAGTGGTAGTACCAAGGTTGGTTATACATTCAACTTTTACTTTCATACTGTTTTCTATTGTTTTACAATAATGAATAATGATCAGCTCCCTTAAACTCTTTACCAGATAATTATTTTTTTAGAAGTAAGAAATAGCCAGAGACAGTGGTTTCTCTGCTTGTACAGTGTACATGTATGCAAATTCATAATATTACCCAAAACATAGGTTTTTTAAAATTCTCTTGAAAATACACTTGATCTTTGTGTTTGTATGAATTATTGAAAATAGAGATTTTTTTTACATTTACTCAGTCCATTACCAGTCATCTTGACCCATTGCCATCTCGCCCCCAACATCTTACCCCCACTATGCCATCTCGCACCCACCATCTCGACCCAATATTATTACTCAGTCTTTCATGTTGATAGCTGTTAATAGAATAATATGTAGTTATACACTCAGTTACTTTGACCTATTTTTCCTGTTTATTTATTTATTGCACTTTATTTGTAGTTTATAGACCTAATTGTAAAGAAATTGTCCATTCATTCTTCTCTTTCCTTATTAAATTTGTTAGTGTGTTGCCACATTCAAAAGAAAATCAAGGCTTTCCAAGTGCTTACTTGAAGTTCTAATGGATGACAGTGTTTTGCCATACTTCATGGAATACATGCAGACACAAAATGCCACAAACTTATTGAACTTTTGGCTGACAACAGAAACATTCCATCTGTCAACAATAAGCAGACTCAAAATAAATTCTTTATCTCGTATAAAGTCTACATTACCCACAGAAACATTAGTAAATGGAAATGAGAAATGCGAAGGTGCTGCTTGCTCTTCATTGTCATCAAATGAAGATAAACAAAGGATTTTAAGTGACAGTAGTAGTGACAGTGAGTTTGGATGCTTTACAAGTTACTCAGCAGATACAACTGAACATAGTGGACCAAAGCAATTATTGGACAAATTAAATACTGGAGCACTCCTTATTTGTGATAAATGTGGTAACATTGTTCCTAAGAATAATTCARAATGCATGATATGTGGTCCTGATAATGTTGATCAACAAACCTTTGATAACAAAATAAGTGAAGAACATTGTAGTGATGCTTTAGAAGATGTCTTTGATGAAATGGTCAGTAAATCAGATGGCAAGAGAGTTACTTTTGATCTTAACCCAGACTATGAACATGAGGAACGTGAATTTTGTCGGCGACGTACAAGAAGTATAATCATTGATGCCATGAGTATATACAGTAGATATATTTCATTAGAAGCAACTCATCCGTTTGGTCTTGATGAGCCTCTTAGGCGTCAGGTAGAAGGTGAGTTGTGGCAAGRACGTGGATAGTTCAGGGGTTTTATTAAGTTYGGAAGTAGCTGGATGTTCTGAAAATTGTAACTGTATGAAAATCATAAGAGACCAACAACTGTAATTTGGCCAAAGTAGCCAGACCAAAGTAGACAGTGGTCGGAGTATGTCGTTTTCCTGCTTCTAATGAAATCCTTGAAAGTTTGATATATATTAAGGATTCTATCCATGGGTACCTTCTTACTGCTGTATAGTGGTTTGCTTGTCTAGGTTACTTAATCTGTTAAGTGATGRAGTGTTTTTGATCTGTTTTAGCAAATATATGCAGTGAAGATGGAAAAATTGACCCAGAATGCTTTTCACCAGCTCAAGCCTTTGCTTTTAAAGTCATGGACAGAATGTATGTATTTGATTGATATATTGTTCCAATTTTTAACTATTCACTGTCATGTATTTATTCATTGAGTCTGGTGCAAACCCTGGCTATCCGTTCTATGATCTGCTTGATACCTATCCTCCATTCCACTAAAAACATGAATCAATTGCCAGGCTGATTGCTGGTAGTCACCAGAATTTATCAATCATTGTTTATCATAATGACTTTGTTGTCCAGGTATTTTCCCTCATTTGTGCGCAGTCCTCTTTATTGTAAACACCAGCTGGACATACTGACAGGGTCCAAAGTTTTCCTCTCTGACATCATTTATAATGAGCATGCCATGTTCTACTTTATGGAGGTAAGTAACAAGTGAAGATGACAGTACATTTGACAAGCTCTATGTAGTCCTAAAGTAATACCCATCAGTCTAAATATACATGTAACTTTAATCTAAGAAAACTTTGTAAATGTAATTTGCACTTGTCATTGTAGGTATCTATTTATTTTATCTCCATTAGTTATAATTAATTTATTGATTTTATAATATATACAAATTATGTATAATATTCCTTTTTATGTAGTTTTTAGAGCAGGAAGGAGTGAGACACATGCTGGAGTTTTGGCTGACTGGTGATAATTTTCAGTTGATGCTGAAAGATAAGCTAGACAATGGTGAATACAATAGTCAACAAGCCTTAGATGACGCTATGATCATTTATGAAAGGTATAATATGCAAAACTTTGGAGTAAAGAAATGAGAAAGAATAGTATTACATTGTTTATTCTTAATACTCCATGGTCAGGTTCAGAGGCCACCAACAAATTACTTAGCATTATACAACAGTGAGCATAAAATAAAAGAYCCCTGCTGAGCATTCCTTGATGTATCGGTTGTGTATACTTTGTGATCACTGAATCTGAGTCTGGAATGATGTAAATTTGTTAAAAATTGTTTTTTKGGGGGAAATTATGTATATTAAATACACTGTTCCGGGTTATGGCTGATACCAGTACACTGTATATGCAACTAGAATAATCTCATTCACATTTCCAGTATAWCACCTGTGAATTTTGTCATGCTTTAATGCAATATGTATAGTGTCTTAGACATGTCAATCATATCACTAATTTGACTGTAATTAGATGTAGACCTGTGATAATACTAAATATAACCTGACGTCACCTAAACTGGCTAAACTGGTGCAGAAACCAGACTGAGGATACCAGAGCAAAGTAGTGAGAGGGTCATACAAATAAGGATACTTTCAGCTTGATATCAAGTGCGATTATCTTATACATGTAATAGCTAGTGCGTAATCCCAAAAAATACTTGTATGAGCTAAAATTAGTCGTGGTTAGGTTTTCAAGATACATCATGGGAAAAATCTCTCTTGTCAACAAAATTGCAATGCTACATGTATATAAGAAAAGAAAAATATAATGAAGGAAACTGACCAGTACTGACCTTCCAAAACAATGCACAATAAACAAAAAGACACAAATAGAAACAGAGAAAATGAAGAAGACAGGCTGACATAAATTGCAGCAAAGCAAGCAAAACAAAGGATCAAAGAAATTTCACAACTCCTCAAGGAGTGTTTTAGGAAACTATTTTATCTAGTAGTATTATACACCTTATCTGTATGTCAGTCTGTAATATAACCTTTGTATCTAGTGAAATACTTCATCACTGGACTAAAAGGGTGTCAGCCATGACACCATTTCTTGAGTTGTAAGTCTCTCACTACTCAAAAACCTACTTTGAATAAGTCTGATGTCTCCAAAATGTTGGTCKACCCAATATGTAAATGAGACCATTGGCAACTTTGCAAAGATTGTTATCAGTTACTGATAATCCTCTTGACTGGGTGATTTTCAGATATTTTTCTATGCAAGCAAGTTTACCTCTTGGCTTTGATGATGTGACAAGAATAGAGATTGAGAATAACATCTGTCGTGATGGTGGCCCTCTACCAGACTGCTTGAGTACACCCTTGGAACATATCTTATGCTTGTTGGAAGAGGTATGAAAATCAGTAATAAAATGCATGATATAATTGCACATTGTTCATTAAATGCAGTGTCCCTAGCATTATTTTTGTTGTTACAAACTCATGACCATTTTATACACTGTATGGATGTTAAATTTATAATATTTGTACGTTTTCGTATACCTGTAATGGATTTTCAACTTACTGCCCTGTTTCTCAATGGTTCAAAACTCAAATATGATTGTTAATTATAGTGGATTTTGTGCATGACTTGTAAGTTGCATGAAAAAAGCATTAAGGGCAAAACAGCCTTTTAAAGTTTCACAAGTGCATCTGTGAATCTTTTTTATTTGCAATGGATTGTTTTGCACTTAAATTGAATTCTCTTGTTGAAAAGTCAAAAAATAATGAAAATAGACATGTAATGGTAATTTTTTTTTCAAATCCTCTTTCCAGGTTTTCTTTCCAAGTTTCTTACAAAGTGATATCTACTTCAAGTACTTGAATGAGCTGTTGAACTCAGTATCCGACACACCACATGAAACAACACAAGAAAATGAAATAACAACTAATAAAGGACAGCATACCAATGAGAGTACACGWTTGGTTACATCATTTGGTTCAGAGCTTGATTTARCTGAAAACCCTGATGCTATTTGGCACAGACCAAATGCTGGGTAAGTTTGCACAAGCTAGTGATGAAACACTATTTCATACTTTATGAGGCATATAAGTACTTACATTGTATGGCTGTSCAGACCAGTTAACAAAATGAGAAGTTTACTTTTTCTTTAAAATCAGTTCTGGAATGTTGGATAATTATATTCTGTCACTCTATACTTTTTCTTTACTTCAAACTGACATTTGAAACGTCAGGGCAGCAAGGTCCTTGCTAAAAAATGCATTAAAAAAAATGCTGGTCTATTACTGCTGTGGTCACAGTTTCCTGGCCTGGGACTATATGTGATTTGAATTTGTAGGCTGGTTCTCTTCCTTACTAGTAGTCAAGGGCTTTTCTCTGGGTACACTGGTTTCCTCCCTCTGACAAAAACTAGCTGTTAGGAAAGTTGTGTGCTAAAACATACTATGTAGTGGTGGTGAGTGCAAGAGTGTCTGATACAATGTACATWACAATAGCCACTGGGTAGGGAGACTCGGCAGCAACTCCCAGTACCTATACATAAAACATGTATTTATTTTTCTATTTTAATGATTTCACCTACTTTTTACAGTGTTAAAAATCTATATTTATTTTATAACAATTGTTTATTATTTAGAAACACCAATGYAGTTCACACAGCTAGTTTCCATCATATATTGGAAATTCCTCAAGATCTGAATTGTTTACTCTATAATTATAGCTGGATACTGAATTATTGTTGTTATTTGCTATGAGATCTGTAATATCTGTGAGTCTTATGAACTTGTTAATAATTTGTTTATTTTAATTCAGACCACTGTCAATTGGCCGAGTTAATGAGTTTGGTATATATGAGCCCATCTTTGATCCTGAACCTGACAGAGACAGACACAATACATCTACAGGTAATCATATTAAC